TTGGATTAAAGTTGGGATTAGGTAAAATTATGAGAAGATTATTTTTATTAGTTATACAACAGTTACTCTAGTAAAATTTTAAGATATAATAGGGGTGTAATACATTGCAAATGCAATAAAAAATAAAACCCAATTAAAAAATTTTAAATTTTTAAATATAGTAGTTTAATTGCCAAATATATATAATAGTCATATGACATTTGAAATTTGGCTTTCCCATGAGCATGTGTTGGGTGATACAAAATTTAAAGTCATGTGTCTCATATTACCTATACTTTATATTTGGTAATTAAATTACTATAGTTAGAAGTTTAAAATTTTTTCAATTTTCAAATTTTCAAAATTTTCAATTTTCAAATTTTTGAATTTTTCAATTTTTGAATTTTCAAATTTTCAAAATTTTCAATTATCAAAAAATTTGTACTTTTGGCCCAAATAGAACACCGTATGTTGTGATTAGGCTTTATAGCTGCCACTGGCAGTGCAAGAACTTTATGCATAGTGATTAAGTTCTATAGCTACAATAGCAATACAAGGTTTCAAGTATGATTAGGCTTCATGAATGTGATAACATCATGTAATTAGGCTTTATAGTTGCCATAGACAGTAATGAATCTCATATTTGATAATTAAGTTCTGTGATTACAATAGTACAAGAACTTTATATTGTAAATAGACTCCATGGCTGTAATAGCAAAGCAAGATCTTTATATTGTGATTAGGCTCCTATAGCAGGCATAGATAATGCAAGAATCTCATGTTTGTGACTATGCTCTGTAACTATGTCAGGAATGCAAGAATCTCACAGTGATTAGGCTCCATGGATGCAATAGCAATGCGAGGACCTAATGTTGTAGTATTTGCCACAGGCAATTCAAGAACCTCATATTTGGCAATTAAGCTCTACAACTATAATAGCAATAAAAGAACCTTACATTGTAATGGACCCATAGCTGTGATAGCAATGCAAGAACCTCATGTTGTGTTTAGGCTCTATGGTTACTGCAGGCAGCACAAAAACCTCATTTTTGTTTATTAAGCATCACAACTATAATAGCAGTGCAAGACCTCATGTTGTGGTTAGACTCCTTAACTGTGATAGCATAAATTAATTAAAATTCAACTAAAAGAAACTAATGATAACAATGTTTATACTTACTGAATATGGGTACCATCAAAGGAAAACCTACAATCGGGCTTTGGTTATCTATGTAAATTTATGTCTGATGATAGTTTTACCATAGACAACCAAATATACACAAAATACACATGAATACCTAACTGTAAGTTTTTCTTTGATGGCATTTATATGGTTAAATATGTTGAATAGCTTTTAATTTTTTTTTAAAACAAAAGATGCTTTTATATAATCACCCTATGTCATACCTTATTAAAAAAAGACAATAATAATGCTTTCCTGCTAAATTCTATATAATATTGTTTATACATATTTTATTACAATTTTACAATTTACAAATTAGAATAATAGAAACCTATAAAGCACAGAACAATAGACAAAGTACAAAGTGAAAAGTTTCATATAAAGAGATTCTACGAATGTACGTTGTGAGGGGCTCCGGTCATCCGACCCTACAATTTTTTATTTTTTTTTTATTATTATCTATATTTTATTATTAGTATTAGTATTATCAAATATATATACTTAGCTTAGTTATCCGGGGGCTCCTTCTCCTGGATCAAATCGATAAGTCGGATAAATTCGCTTTAGCGAATTTATCCGCTTAATCCACCTTAATCACCTTAGTCGATATAGTGAATTTATTCGCCTTAGCGAATAAATTCAAGAGAAAGTTGTATATTTTAAACACTGTAAAAATATATAAAAGCAGAGCCGCTCTTGCTCTGAAATAAAGGGAGAACTCAGTTGAGTAATACTTCGAAAACAATTATAGTAGAAGTACTCCAGTAGTTTTTACTTATCTTTTCCCGTTATTCCTGATAAATCACTCAAGTGGAGTTTGACCTTTGAAATTCGAGTAAAAGCATCAACTCTAAGTTTTTCCTGAATCCTAAAGCTAATAATAAATTCGTATCTCTACTTAATCTTGATTTTTCGTAAGAAAGAGGGAGAGAAAAGTATTAATTAGTAGTCAAAAACCCTTTTTATAATAAAATATAATTGATCAAACTCTGATCAAACGTCATTGTTACCTCTAATCGGTTAACAATTGATTTCGTAAATCAATCTTGATCCCGTGACCCACGTGACGATCGTTAAGTATCTCAACGATCGAAGTAGAATACTAAAGCCCAGCACACTAAAGTTCAGGTCGAAGCACCACTTTTGGCTCCCCTTTGAAGCCTAGAAAACACCAGTAAAAGCATAAGTCAAGACTTGACTTATCTTGACCCCCAAATACGCCGCAGCAAGACTCAACAAGACTTTGAGACTTGGACCAAGTCTCTCCGCGCCTCTTTCTGCCTGCCAAATAGAAGTCTTTAGGGTCTTTGACCAGAAGATTAGAAGTTGTAGTGTGTAGATTTAGCTAGTTTTAGCTTAAAACAATTAAGTCATCCCTTTTCAACGTACATACAATAATTAAATGGAGGTCTATCTGATAGAATTTAAATGATGCTGATTACTGTAGCTAATTACTCGATAATAATTGGTACACATTCAAGATGTGCTACAAAAAAGAAAATCGTATGTAAATATTATAAGGTTTAAGACACATGGGCGATGAATATAAAGTTTACTATTGTAAATGATGGAAACTACAAACGCTACAAAAAATCAAAGCAAAAGTGAATCAGTATGCACTAGAAATAGAAATAAAAATCTAATTATTAACTAAAAATCGTATATTTTTAGTAATTTCATAAAAAGTTTCACAGTAATGCATATATCTAACTATGGAATCAAAAGTCCCTGAACTTAAAAATCTTATAAATACAACCCGAATACGATAAAAATTTTTTGGGTAATATCAGATATATCAGATATATCAAGCTATATCAGATATATCAAGATATAGATAAGTTAGGGTTGGTCAAATTACTGGTTGACCAAAAATTCATTGGTCAAACTGGTCTGGTCGAATTGGTCAATGGTCTAGTCTATTAATTAAATAAATTTAGTTCCAAAATAAATAAATAAATAAATATATATATAGTATATATATTTAAATATCCTTTGACCAATTTGACCAAGAATAAACCCTTTGACCAACTGGTCAAATTGGTCAAACTGGTCTGGTCAAGCTTGACCATTGACCGGTCCATGCCAACCCTGATACTGTAGTATATGGAGACACTTAAAGAACAAGGAATCCAATAATGATCACATCACGTGAAATCATGCAATTACATCATTTATTTACTAGCACTAAACAAATTAGCCTAAACTAACCTATCACATAACCCTAACACTAACCCTAACGTAGGCCGAATATTTAATCATATGATGTGATTATTATGAAGATTCCTTGATCTTCAACCTTCCCGAATTTTTTAACCTCCAGATCGACATTTTCCTAGACCAGTTCTCATATGCAACAAAATTCGAACACACAATAATATATTTATATACAAAATGTCATAATAATTTGACATATTATAATATAGTCATAATGATGCAATATTTTTACTTAGACGATTAATATTATATCAGAAATGCAAACTTTTAATAAATTAGTAAGCAACCAATCAAAATAGCTAAAATTCCATATTGCATATAACATCATTTACCAAGCCCACACATGTACTTATCTCTAAAATTCCTATTTTATTAACTATCATTAGTGAATCCGCGATACAAATTAGTAAAATCACTTCAGTAGTTACAACAGACAGAAAAAAATTCATTCACAAATGTTTTTTAATTCATCAATAGAAGTAACCAATTAAATCGAATTGCGTAATCTTTTATCACTTGACGTAAACATTAAAATTATTCTACGACCCGGACAAATTAAAATAATAAAGTATGTATCATTTGTAAATGATCAACATGTGTTAATGGTTTATGTTAGACTGTACAATTATTGAGTTATGAGTTAAATAAAACTTCATGAGAAATATCATATTAGAAAATCCCTGTCAAAGGTGGACACAAAAAGTGACAAATTTGTAATCATAATTTTCTAAATAATAGGCCTAATATAGGAAAACTTCATAATAGCGTTAGTCAAAACAAAGTATAAGGTATATCGGATAAATATTTAAATGATATGTTTTATTTCAACAAGCGTAGTCTATAATGTATATTTATAATTAGACATTGTAAAGTTTTTAATAACCATTCTGGCTTAACGAATATCGAAGATGAATTTGTTTATTGAACATTCTGATGGAAATAATAAATTCTGTAATAGTTATCCAGTACATTGGGTAGCATGGGTATAAACGGAAATGAAATTTCCGCTTAAACACATAGAACCCAGTGCATAAGTAATTGTTATATCCTGGGCAGTTGGGTATAAGCGGGACTTTCAGCCCCGCTTATACACATAGTGCCCAGGGTATAACTGATTTATGCCCTGCGATCTTGATATAGTGACCATATAGTTCTTTTTCTGGCATCTGATTGACTGGAACAAGTGATCGGCAAAAATTTTAGCGTACAGTATGTACGTACGCATGTACTGTACGCATAGTCTGTACGCGGCACATCACTACGTGTAACAATGTTCAATTTTGTTGATTCATTTTATTGAAACTGTACTGTCCAAACAAATTTCCATTAACAATAGTAATTTACTGATAAATTCATTAAAAAAATAGATTACCATTAACGATAATTCATTGTTATTAATAAAATTTATTGATAAACATGTGAAATTGATTATATTCTTAAACGTTACATTTTAGTATTTATGCAAACAAGTGTTTGATTATCTACTCCGAAATTCCGTACATACACGCGCAATATTTTCAGCTTCATAGATGTTCGTTGTATTATTATACTAACTTTATAAATTTTTGATATTTGAACTTATTAAATTAATTAAAAAAACCTAGAACGTTAAGCACCAGCTGAAATGACTACCGTCATTGATGTATCTGGTCCTCGTGGAGCTGACGGACTAAATGGAAGACATGCAACAATCTATAGTGGTGGACTAAAAGACGGTAACCATGGAAGTGATGCAACAAAACCGACTAGGGGTGCAGATGCCGGAGGTCAGATAAATTCTTTCATTAAGAAATGAAAAGATGTGATTATTTAATTTTACAAATAAAAAAAATTTAATCAAAATTTATATTTATAATTATATCAGATATCGAATTGGAAATAACCGAAAAGTTTGATTTCCCTAATTATTGAAAAAATATTTTTTGCTGTTATTTTAAATTTTTATTTATTTATTTTAAGCTTTAATTATTTATAGTGATAGTATTAATGGTGCCTCAATTGAATTTTCGGGAAAATATCGTACACCAGGATATGTAGTTTATGACTATCAAAAAACCTTTTCATGCAAGAATGTTAACGTATATATATTAAGAGGTAAAATAAATAAACTTTCGCCTCGGAATTTAAAATTTAATATTTAATCATTGACACCGTATACTTCTAGCACGAGGAGGTGATGGGGGACATGGTGGTATTGGTGGTGATGGTGGTTAGTATATTATCAATATTTTATAATTTTAGTTATAGGCATATATAATACATGAACTTAGAAAAAAAAACTTTCTCTTTAGGTAATGGTGCCGAGGGTGATCCAGGATTGGATGCCACTCGGTAAATCTTTTATTTATCATGACTTTACTATATAAAATTTTACTGTAATTAGAGTTATTAATCTCTTTTGACAACAAAGATGGCGCAATGGAGAAAATGGAGGAATGGGTGGTGATGGTGGTAATGCAGGTAAAATTTTGTCTTAATACTGTTTAGAAAAAAAATGAATGACTTATTAACATACAACATTTCTTAATGACACTTAACAAAAAACAATCCTAACAGGTGCCGGAACTAGGTAAGCATTAATTCTAATTTACAAAGTTTTGGTTAATTATTATTAACTTTTAAATTTTCTGATTATGTCTGCATTTAAGTGGTGCCGATGGTGGAAGAGGTGGCTCTATTACTTTGCACATGAATGATACTGACTCTGGATTGCTAATGTTATTTGTGACTGCATGGACTCCAAGTATTTCTTACAGTTTAGATGTAAATGGAGGAATGGGAGGTAATATTACCTTTTATTATTTTTTTAATATACAGTAGACAAAAACAATAGGCAATAATATTATTAATTACCTTAATGTAGGAAATGCTGGTCGCCATGGAATACCAGGTACTGTTTGTACAGTTATCATTATTAGTTTAACATAATACTTATTATAGATTAATATACGTATTTATTGTCTTTAGGTAGTGGAGGCCCAGGTGGTCGTGGTGGCAGAAGTTATTCATGGTCAGAATCTCACTATAACAGTCGTGGAGATCGAATAACTCATTATTATACTAATCCAGGTATAGTTTATGACTTTACATATACTAATTACTAAAATTACCTCGCATTTTATGCATATTTAATCCTCTTTAATTATTTTAGGTGGCTCTTCAGGCCCTTTTGGTAATGATGGGCTACGTCCAAGATTTACTCTTTATAAAGGTACACCAGGAAATAATGGAATCCTCCGATTTTTGATTAAAGACAGGTGAAAATTGATTTCATTAAAAACTTTCTTCGTATTAAAAGAATATTTATTACTTCAAGAAGTTTTAACATAAATCTCATATCTCTCTTAAAGTGTTACAAACTATGTTACAGAATACAGCAAAATTTATGATATACGTTTGCAAGGTGTTATTACTCACTCTGCCACAGGAGCTTATGAACCAGATGCTAAAATTATTATAGATTCTATAACGGTTTACAATAAATCTAAAACGCCCACACCAAGACGTATTTATCCTTTTTTTAGAATCATTTATAAATTAATATATTACGAATTCACCTTAATGATATTTTTCAATTTTTTAGGGGATATCCGCGTTAATATTAATGATGCAAAATGGATTCACAACCAAAAGTTAAAGGAGCATATCTTATTACCACAAAGGATTGATAAACTTACCTTAAAAGAAGTTAATTGTAATCAACCTTTTTCATTTCTTCTTGGAGGACATATAGTAGATAAGCCAGGTTAATAATAAAAAATTACTCAATTTCATTACTTCGTTTTATTTTATATTTACAAATATTTGATAATACTATTTGATGATACTGTTATATCAGGTCCACCTCTTCGAGCCACTGATCAATTATATTTGACAGCAACAATGACTGGAATTGAAAGGATATTTCCTGCCTTCAATATCAATGGTTATTCTATCAATATTCAATTTCCTATTGAACTCACTCGTGTTTCACACATGAATTCTATGGTAATATTACTCTTTTGTATTTTTATTTATTTAAAAATATATTCCTCTTACAATTATTTAATCAAATTTAGGTTGTTGGTCATGTAGCTAAAGTTATATGGGAAGTGAAAAATACATCCAAAGTGGATTTTGGTGCTCAAGCAAAAAATAAACGTCTTATCCGTGTTAGATTGGGTAAAATTAGTGGTGAAGTTTCACCATCTGCCTTAAAATTTGGGTTGAAATCAGATCAGAAAGGTGTCTTAACAATTCCA